TGCCAGGAACAACAGTCCCAGGAGATGTTTTGTGTAGAGATAAAATGAGAACCAAACTGGGTTTGGTTCCTCTGCTGCCCCTTCCCTCACACACACACTCTCCTTATGCTGCAGTCATGCTCCTGCTTTATCCTCGGCGTGTTATATATTAGGAAAGACACTCCTTAATACATCTGGGGAAGTGCTTCCCCGCACACACACAGGAGCCCTGGCTCAGAGGCAATTAAACACTCCAGGCTGCACATGCTCACACAATTACCTTTTGTGACTGTCACTAAATAAACGCTGCACTGAGCCAACAAATCTTACAATGGCCTCATTTTTCTAGCAATGATGCCTCAGGCGAGGCCAGTGTGGCCCAGAAAGGAAAAAGGTTAACTTTTGCTGAAATTCCCTAATCCTGCTTATCTGCTTCTTCTCCCTAAACATCTGCCAGCTTCAGACACCTGTTACAAATACCAGTTTGTCTTGCAGTGGTTCCTGGAGTCTATCAGCAACCCGAGCAATTAGTATTGTCAGCAAATCATTTATTAACTAGACTATTCAGTTTCAGCTAACCTAAGACTAACTGTGTATTTAATTCCTGACTAGCAGGATCAAATCAATCAAAAAAAAAAAAAGTCCATGGGTAAATATCAAAGATCAATAGGTAATAAATTAAAACTTTAATTAAAACCTTATCTGAATGCTAACAAAACGACAAACAATAGAGATTATTTCATATCACGTCATTTTGATTATTTTCATGCTTTCTCCTCAGTTCAACCCTGGAGTTACTCAAGTACATGGTGAAAAGGTTGGAGTACATTTTTTGGCATCATATTAGAACCTCTCTTCTTCCCCACCTGTCAGAGACCCTTTACAGGCAGTTCAATGCCACTTTGAGGGTGAAGAATGACCTCACCAAAGTGGTATTTTTCTGCACATTTTCCCCTGTGAATTTGGAGCTGCAGCCACTGACCTTACTGGCAAGAAGACAATTTTACTGCTGGTTGTTGTGTGAGCAGAAGCATCAAGCTATTAAAGAGGGAGCAGGAGCTGGTTCCCTCGTGTGTGTCATCAGCAGAGGTAAATAACATCTCTGCATCTCTGCTGTGCAAACCAGAGAGTAATTAGGGGGAACTGCTCAGGCCATTAAATTGACGAGCTGATATCTGTTCCAGCCCTTGGAGATTCAAGCCCTGTGTTGTACCCAACCCCTGCTACCAGCTTTTACACTGTTAGGCCGACAAGGACGTGAGACAAAGAAAGCTAAAGCACTATGGCTAAATTTTAAACTATGCTCAGGTACACCACATTCAACAAGATCAAGGCCAAATAGATACATCAATAAGTTAAACTCTATTGAGGTCAAGAATGAAAAGAACAAACAATAAATCAGCTTTAGCAGATCATTTCATCCACACTTGGTACGATCCATTGGGCAGATTTCACTGGCAGGGAAGTCACAGGCTCAGTCTGCAGGATGTCTGCAAACACTATCAACTTCAGATCCTGCCAAGAAACCTGAAACACCAGAACTGTCTTCCCTAGACATGCCAGCCAGGCACTGCTGCCCTGCTCACAAGCACCAAGCAAACACACCTGCAACAAAGAGGAGACCTTAGTGGTGAGCGTGGACAGGAAAAGAATGGACTTCAGAAGTTCCTGTTGACTCTCAAACACTCCTGCTCCCTGCCCTACACCCTATTTATGCCATCACCTGCCAGTCACTTCCTTTTGGCCATTCCCCTCACCTGAGGGCTCCTTTCCCCACCCGAATCATGTTTTTTGTATTAGCTCCTTAATCACCAGGAAAGTGCCTTGGTGCTGAGTCTGCACAGAGAGATGGCAACCCTAAGTGCAAATATTTCTAAATTCAAAAAGCATCTTTACATTCAAATGCAGAACTGTACCCCTGCCACCCATGTGCCTTGATGGGACTGTACTTTATCTACTGCCTTGTGCTATTCCATTGGTGCAAATAAGTATCAGCTTGGTTTCAGTAACTGAGCTTCTTAAAAAATCCAGCCAACTCCCCCCCCCCCCCAAAAACAAACAAACAAACAAACAATTTAGCTGCTGGTTTAGTACAAAGCTTTAAATCAGCAGCTTATTTTTGGAAAAAAACCTAAAATAAGTGACCAACCTACAAGCACAGTACAATGAGAGCTTTCACTGTGCTGAAGTGTCCTAACCCCATCCTTTGCTTTTGGGACTAACAATAAGGCAAGCAATTTTATTTCATGCAAACGCACAAGATATCCCAGCTCTTTGAGCATCCCCTGCTTTTTCCCATCTAGATCCTGGATCTGATGCTTCTCACTGTGCCAGCCTGCAGCCAGATAGGAGCCAGCCCATGCCTCCCTTTTTTCATGCTGACTCCCACTGCACTGGGCTGGAAACTGCCAACAGAGCAAAGGAGGGAGGACAGAGGCGTCAGCATTGTCTGCACATCTGTCCCACTGCCCAGCTCTCAGCTGCAGGTGAGGCTGAAGCCAAAAGACCTAATGAAGCAGAGAAGAACAACTACACTGCTGACACAAAAGGCATGGCAGGCTTTCATCTTCTGAGAGGTTAAAAATAAACAGTTTAGCTTTCAGCGAAGTGGTCTGATTAGAGGCAAAGAAAACTACACTGATTTCCATGGAAATGGAATATTTTGTTGCTGCTACTTGATCTTGTTGAAATGTATTAAGGACACAAAAGAGTGCAATTTCAATATCTGGAGAGTGCTAGTATGCTTTAAAATTTTAAATTCAATTGATTTCTTTTAAAAGAAAGCTGGCTGATTTTAGTTTCTTAATTAGTTCATTACCGCTGCAAATGGAGCATGTTCTTATAAGCTTGTTGCAGGATATTATAGAAATACAGAAACAGCTGCAACCCACAACAGAAGAGATACACATACAGGCAATATCTGTACATAAAATTCAGTGACTTAAGATCCTCTAGGTCCTCTATCTCCTCTCTAAAAACAGTTCTTTGACTCATAACTCTTGCTAAATTTAAAGCCATTACAAAACAGATACTAGTTTCTGTGGAAAAAGGATCAATCCCTAATTTTTTTCTTATTTTTCTTTTTTAAAGTGTAGGAATACTTCATAGGAATAAGACCTGCCTACACATGCTCTGGAAGCAAAATAACTCGATTGGTTTGAGTTCTCATCTCATTACTGTGGTACCTATCTCCATAGGGAGGTTTCTTTCAAATGAACAGCGTCCTATTTCAGTTTAACCCAGATAGTAACAAAATAATCACTCAAAATGGGGCACCACTGCCCTGACCTTCACTGTGACAAATACTAAATACAGGTGTGAAGGGAAGGCTGCTTTGCTGCTGTGGCTGTTCTCTTTATAGACACGCCCCAGGGTAGGATCCTCTCCAACATTTCGACACACACCGATGGGACCCTGCCACAGCATGGCCCAACTGAAATTTTCTATCAAACCAATGTTAAAAAATACCCCAAATCTTTGTTCTTAGTTAAAATAACACGTTGTGATGATAACAAGAAAAACAAGTTTCCGTTTATCCTCCCGTTTCCTCACAGTGAAATTTCAACAGAAACAATAAACCCTTTAGGTTTTCATTTTGACAGCGTGACATTTTTTTGACAGAAATTTTATCTTACTGTAATTTTAGGTGACAGGGCAACTTGAGCTTCTAACCAAAAGGCTGCTGGATTTTTATCTGTATATCATGTTTCTTCACATGCTTGCAGCTGGCACGTGCTCTTGTTCCAGTAGTGATGACCCAGGAAAGAAACTGGAGCCAGGAAAGATTTGCCCACAAACCACCACAGCCTGATTTAGGACAGCTTTCCACTGCAGACTAGTCACATTAGATATTGATCAGTATAAATTAGCATTGATACTGTGGCTCAAGGGGCTTTGCTTTTCTTTTATTCTTCTCATGTAATGGCCTCATGAAACCAATCCTATGCTTTTCTTTGTGTTATGCTGAAGACCATGTTTGGCTAAGGCTTACTATACATTTAATATGAAATATTACCCATGAATACATTCAGGAGTGGACCCACAAGAAATGCAGGTGCTGAAATACCTAATTCCCAGTGCCTGCTAATTTTCACAGCCCCGACCCAAGTGTTGGAGCTCTTTATTGAATGTACAGGGAAAACCACAGAAGACAGAAGAAATGGCAGTTACAAAGTAAGAAACACTGAGGAGAAGAGTGGGACATAAGTCTCATTCCTGGATGTAATTAGGTGGCTGTGGCTCATGAGAAATCAGAGCCTATTAACAGAGGAGCCTGGAGAGTACAGGTGATGGGGGAATTGTTGGCAAACAATGACCTGGGTAAGAGTGTTACATACCCCATTATGGCCATTACAGAATTCTTCCTTTTTGCCATTTCTCTTCTGCTCACAGACACTTTTTGCTGTTTCCTGATGATTCTCTCTGCTCAAACAGGCTAATATTACACTTTGATAGGCTGGCTCAGCTAAAAGCTCCTCAGGGTTCGGTGCTTGCAGCCACATGGATTCGCTGTGCAAACTTAATTGTAGTAAGAACTGGATTTAAGAGCAGCAGATCAATGCCCTGGAGAGTTGTTAGGGTGAAATACAGAGACCTCATCCACAGATAAAAGGAAGAATACCATGCAATAATGACAGAAAAGGCACTCATCAGCTATATTTTCACCCATTGTGCTGTGTCTGACAAAAAAAAATATGGTGTATTCAGTTCACCACTTTAGTAATTTTGCTTTTAACAATATCTGACTTTGTATTCAATCAGCAGACCCTACTATGTGAAGCAATTTTTTGGACACCCAGTGGTTTGACTGCATACACAGCCTTCTGTTCCTGGCCAAATACATCTCTGCTTCACTGCCTGCAAGGGAGATCACCCGAGGAGAGCAGAGCAGAGCAGAGCCTGCCAGCCCCACACTTTCCCCAAACAAAGCACTGGGTTTGCATCAGCAACTTTTACATCTAGACCTCCTTCATGGATCATTTTCCCCTTTATATCACCTGCACAGACATGATGCCTTTTACCTGCCTAGCTTGGGCTTTGCTGTACCTCGTGCTACCAACTTTGTGCAGCTGAGTGAGTTGGTGGTTCCGGGGCATTTTTTCCTGTTGCAGTTGGACATTTCACAGTTCCCATCAAGCTGAAGGCCACTGCCATTTGGATGGTGCCAAACAGGATCCTCCCTGTAAATTTAAAAAGATAATGGGGAAAACTGTAATGAGGCATTTAGGCACAGCCCTCGGCACACATGGACAGACGGAACAGCAAAGCAGCTCTTTGCTATGTGGGTTTTTTAAAAAAGCTAAAACCCTCTTGAAATAAGCCCATGCTTATTTCTTGCAAAGTAATGATAATTGATTCAGAACTCCTTGAAATGAATTCAAGCTCAATAAAGGTCATGGCCTGAGGAAGAGCTGTACCTTTGCTGTGCAGGGGAATGTTTAGGAGCCTGTGAAAGCCCTGGCTCTGCAGGTGGGAGGTTAATTTCCAACAGCCTGATTCAGCAATAAAGCAATAAATACAAAATCCTCCTCAGACCTTTCAGACACGAGCACTTGAGAGGCACTGAGAACAGATTAGCACCCTTCATTATGGGCTCTTTTTTTATCAGAAACCTTAAATCCCACTGGTTTGTCTGAATCACTCTCCACTTCTGACGACAGCCATGTGTAGCACAGATCAATTTACGTATTTCTTTAGTGTAGCTGGGGACCAGCAGGCTGTAGTTAAAAGTGTGGCACAGGTTTTGGGGGTGTTCATTCACAGGCAGCACCATCAGCATCCCACGGCAGGCCTAGTTTGCAGCTGCCCTGCTCTCTCCTTCCTACCCCTGAGGCAGGAAGGGCTGAGCAACAGATGACTCTCCTGGGACACTGGCATTCCCTGCCTTTTCTCCAAGCATAGGGGAGGCAGCAGGAAAAGGGCTTCTCTTCACTAGAGAACAATATCTGTCCCTTCTACCATTGTTGCTTTTAGCTGACTCTTCCAAAAGCTGGAGTGAAACTTGGCTTCCTATTTCTTACCGTTCTCACAGAAGGAAAGCTACAAATAAGTAGTATTTAGGTCAGCAGAATCACATTTATAAGCCATAAATCAAATCCAACAGACCTTGAACGCTTATTTGTAGCTTATAGACCACAGCTTTAAACGTCCTGTGAATCCTGAACTGCTGGATTTTGTTTCTGCAGTGTTTAGAAGGCAAATCAACAAACTCTGCTGTCCCCAGAGGGGTCTGTCATCTGCCATGGTGATGTGCTGACACACTCAGCAGCAAACAGCACATGCAGCATTTTGTTCACAAAATCCCAGCTTTTTGTCAAATAAAACCATATTAGGCAGATGACAGCAGCGAGTTGCTGCTGTATTCCCTGTGTGCAGGACTTCTGGTCTTCTGTATGTAAGACTGGCTTTGTTCCTTACATCCCTGTTTTGTCCTCCTTACACACAGGCATTTTACTTCACTGTGTTACCCTTTCCTTTGATTCCCTCCATTCTCTCATGTGATGCTTTGTGTCACTCAAGAAGACAAAGTTTGGTGAGTATCTTTTCAGTCAGGGAAAGGACTTCCCCTTCCTGCACCTCATCAGATTTTCAAAACAGAAATAAAATGATTTTCTGTACGACTACAACATAGTCCCCACACGTGGGAAATAGCAACTCCCAGGAAAAAAAAGAAGGAGAAACTGGTGATGTTCCCTTAAAAGGCGGTGAAATGTTTGCCCTTTGGTTAACAGAGCAGGAAATGGGTTTGAAACACATTAGTGGTGTATCCAGTAAAGTAAACTTTCCAGTATACAAATGCTTACATTCAGGAGTAAATATCCAAAAACTGCACTGTGCTCACATGCATCACATTTTGCATAGTCAACATGTTGCTATTTGAAGTAAGGCAAACATGACCCGTAGATCTTTCCTTTTCGTGTCCTGTTTCCCCTCCTGCACAGCACTATTTATCTGTGGGTTCCTGTCCGTGCAGGCAGCTTGGCACTTTAAAGAGAACAGTAATTGCTCCTTCAATGAAAGAGGCGGGGGGAAAGGGCACCCTGCCTCTTGTTTGCACAATTCTCTCCCTTTAAATGGAAAAGAATTATGAGATGTGATAAGGAGAGGGACGGTGAGCCACGGCTGATGCGGCTCTTCTGACGCAGTGAAGCTGCGCTGCTGTGCCTGTGTGAGCCACCCCCAGCCCTTCCTGTCTGCTGACTTTACATGGATAATGTCACCGCTGGTTTTACATGGATGATGTCACTGATGGCTACTCCGTGTGGGAAAGCAACACAGCTCTGGGTGCAGGCCGGTGAGGCCACGATTCCCCCCTCACTGCAGCAACAGTTCCTTGCTTTTCCAGCTGATTATTTACTGTTACAGGGAAGGACAGGGATGGTTCTTACAGAGTCTCACAGGAGAGCTTTCCTGTGTCTGCCTGACAATCAAAAGAGGGATTTGTAGCTGCCTGGGGTTCATTAGGATCTTGTGCTGTGGGGACAAGCAGCCTGGCTGAGCTACAGATAAGAGCAACGTGTTTATTTAACAGTCTGTGACTTGAAAGCTCTCAGCCTGTTGAGAAAGGGCAAGCGCACTTCCAGCACTCACTGCAGGCAGGAGCAAGATCCCCTTCAGAGGCACATGGGAAAGAGGAAAGTTTTGTTCCTGGGAGGTACCTGGAAATTTTACAAAGCCTCCCTGCTCTACACTGCCTAAAATATTCATGAGACCCATGGGGATCAAGTAACAGAGACACCATGTGATGGAGAGACAGAGAGATGACAGGTGATACCCTGCTGCCAGGCAGGGCAGGCAGAGGAAAAAACCACTGAAAAATCCACACCCTCTCCAAATGAACACCTATGGAAAATGGACAGTTCAGTCCTTGCAGCCATTCTGATGCTGAAATGCACCAGTGGGCTCAGAAATTATGAGCCTGTCTGGGGACCCTATTCCCCTCACCCATCTCACCAGCAACTTAAAAGAATGTAAAAAAATAAAGCCCTGCTGTGGTCTGTGGGATAACATACAGGATAATAGTAAAATGGCCCAGCTGCAGATGGTAATAATAAGAAAGGGCAATATCCCCCCCATTTTTCTGTAAGACTGCTTGTGGCTCACCAGCTGGGGAGCTGCAGGGGTTTGGGAGAGCAGAAAGTGGTTCCCCAAGGATCACACATGAAGCCACTGCACCTGCCTCCTTGGAAAAGAAGAGTGGATTTTTATCACACGGAGTTATAGGTGATTTTTTTTCCCCTTCATGTAGAATTTGGGCTCTTGCCTTAATAAATTACTGCTCTTCCTGATAATACATCCAATAGAAGTTACACTGGATCTTTCACTGACAGTATCAGGTCAAAGTTGTCTCACTGTGTTTCTGCTCTGAAAAATCTTCTGTTATCAGCAAAGTAGACACCAACCTCTCAAAGGAAGCTTCTGAGGAGTCCTACATCCCTCAAGGGGCAGCTGGAAAAGTGGGCTTGGAAAAGCTCCATTTTTAGGCATTGCAGATAACCTGGCTGAGCTATGGTGGAGGCTGCAGTTAAGGGGGGCTGGTGATATGTGAGAGGCAGGTTGTGGAGCACACACTGAAATACCGACTCTGCTGGCTGTAATTGCATAAGCAGCTTCTCAAAAGCTTGGGGAGAAATATCCCGGGGAAATTGACTGTCTGAGGTTAGGGAGATAATAAGTGTTTTCAGAAATCAGCACCACTGCCAGAAAATAAAGTGGAAAACCTCCCCCATGGAAACTAGAGAAGGAAGAGTCAGGAATGCTGGAGCAGAGAGAAATAAAGTGATGAGAAAGCTGCATAAATGGTAGGGGAAGACTCTTTTCATAAAACAATCTGTTGTGGGGAACGTGAAAATTAAGTTGGCTCTTAGAAGAGAGGAATCCCACCCAAAGCTGCTTTTCTGAGGAAGGGGATTATCTTGGCTTGGTTCCCTACTGTTTAAAAAACACACGGGGGAATTTAATTAAGCAATGCTACTTTCCTAATTGTTGAGGCTATTCTCAGAGGCTCCCAAGACTTTCCAGGCTCTGCAGTGTCGGTCTGGAGCAGGGATTTCTCAATTAACAGTGAGATATGGCAAGCAGTGAGGTCTGGGACTCAGTGCCCTGGTCAAATAGCAACTCCGTCAGTTTATGAAACATTGACGTAATTCTGCTGAGATGGAGCCAGACGAGGGATTTATTTTGCCTGTTCTGTTCCTGCAGATTCACATGGAGTTTTCCATAGGGTATGAGCACAGTCTGTGCTTGCTCTGGGCCACAAGCCCTCCTGTGGTGCTGCTGTGTGCTCTGCTCTGCAGGGACCACATTTCACAGGCTATGTGTCCCTTACATCTCATTCTAAAAGTGGGAGGGTACACTCAACCAGTTCATAGGTTAACAGCTTTCTGCTCCTCTGATGGAAAACCCCACTGTATTAATTATTAAAACTAGCTTGATCCAACTGTAGGTTTAACAATCTGTTCAGAATCTCCAAAAAGCTGATGTTTGGGGCACCACTAGTCTGTTCCTGGGACTTGCAATTGCACATCTCAATACATAAAACACATCTGATTTTTCACAGGTGTGACTTCGAATTTAAGAAAAAAAAAAAAGCTGACAAAGTGCTCAGAACTTCCAGGGCTTGCAAAACAGTCCAGCCTTGAAATTACAGAAAGAAGGGGAAACAAAAAACAATTAAACTCCCTTCAGCTTCAATGCAAACGTTTGCATTTTTCTACTCAGAAGTTCAGCCAAGCAAGCAGCACAAAATGACCTCGGATCTGAGATGAGCAAATAATATAGTATTCCTATGGCAATATGCAAGCCTTCCTCTCCTTTCCCTGCTCCCTAGCTTTGACTGCTCTTCTGACTCCAGATATTTCGTTTTTCCACAGAATCCTCAACTTCTGGACTCCAGATAGGAAACAAGATGTTCATGTCAGGGATTTTGTCTCATCTGGTGCTTTCTGCCACAGCATTGACTCTCCTTGGGCAGTGCCTGGGGGACAAGGCTAAGCATGGAGATATCCAACCACTGACCAAGTGGGGTAAGCAGGATATTCGTGTTCAGGCACTGACATTGAGGGAGGCTGTTACCCAATTCACATCACAGCAATGTGACACAGAGGCACCTGAACTCAAAAGCAAACTCAGAGCAGAGGAGAGGTCCCTGGGGTTTATCTGCCAGCTGATGCTCAAGTAT